ACCCTTTAATACAGTTCCTCATGTTGTGGTGACCCCCAACCATAAAATTATTTGCATTGCTACTTCATAACTGTAATTTTTCTACTGTTATGAATCGTAATGAAAATATCTGATATGCAGGATGTATTTTCATTGTTACAAATTGAGCGTAAATAAAGCATAGTGATTAATCACAAAAACAATATGCAATTATATATGTGTTTTCCTATGGTCTTAGGCGACCCCTGTGAAAGGGTCGTTCGACCCCCAAAGGGGTCATGACCCACAGGTTGAGAACCACTGGTTTAAGTAATAGAGCCCTTTCAGCAGACCTCCCTGGGAGCCCTAGACATCAGACAGCCCAAAGGGAGCTGGGGCTCTGGCCGGGCTCAGTGGTTAGAGCCTCAGCCCACGGACCAAAAGGTTCAATTCCCAGTCAAGGGCACGGACCTTAGTTGGGGGTTCACTCCCTACCCCCAGTCCGGGTGCCTGCATAAGGCAACCAATCTGTCTGTCTCTCTCCCTCCTCCTTCTCCCCCTCCCTTCTACTCTCTCTGAAAAGTAATGGAAAAAATGTCCTCAGGTGAGGATTTTTTTTAAAAAGGGGGAGATGGGGATGGGGCCAAGCCACAAAGTTCAATCCTCCATTTTCACAGCAACCCCGAGACTCCAGGAAGCAGAGACAGCAAACCTCTGGACACCCCCACCCCACCCCACCCCAAGGCTTCCTGCTCTCATGCTGCCACAGGAAATGCACTTGGCCGACCACCTCCACTATCATGGCCACTCCCCAGGATCGCTGGGCAGCCTCCTCAGGGGTCTCCCTCGGCCTAGGAGCCCTCTCCAGTCTGTTCCACGCTCAGCATATGTAAGTCATATTGTGTTGCTCCTTTACGTTCAAAAATAGTGGATCCCGTCACACTCAACTAAGTCCCCACAGTGATATACAATGTCCCTCCTGATGGGCTCCCTGCCACCTCCCGACCTCCTCCTCCCCACTCTGCACCCCTCCCCCTTGCCCACTCTGCTCCAGCCACACTGACCTTCCTGCTCTTCCATGAAACTGCCAGGCTGTCCTGCCCCAGGACCCTTGCACTGGCTGCTGCCTCTGCATAGAATGGTTCCCCCACAGGTATCCGCAAGGCTCCCTCCCTTACCCTCTTCAGGGATTGGCTTAAGTGTTATATTCTCACCCCATTTAATCTGCAGCTCACCCCACCTTCTCCCCCACCCTCCTGTTACTCTGCTGATCCTGACTCATTCAGTTGATTGTTGCCCATCTCTCCTGCTGGAAGGTCAGCTCCATGAGGGCAGGGAGTGTGGTCTATTTTGCTCAGCGCTGTAGCCCCAGCACCTATAACAGTGTCTGGCACGTGGTCGGTGCTCATAAGCCCTTGTTAAAGGCATGAATGGGTTCAGGTACCTCTACTCAGCAGGGAGACTCAGCCCATCTGTACCCAGGAGGGATCTAGAACTTGGCTGGTGCCAGTAGCAGGGCAACTTCTCCCCATCCACCTGGTACACCACATCCACCTGATACCCCAGGGCTCTGGGCTCCAGAAAGGGGGGTTGAGAAGCCCTCCATCTGCCAGCCCCCAGCTTGGGGCGTTCGTCTGCCAGGCCTCCATCCACTCCTCACACACCAACTGCTCCCAGCCACAGCGTAGGGCCTGGCCTTCCTGGGCCCTAGAGGAGGCGATGCTCTGCAAACTCCAGCCACAGGCACCCAGAGCGAGGCCAACAGGGCCTCAGAGGGTGCCTCTTGTCCTTCATCCCTGAATAAACCTGAACTGTGCACCCTCTTGCTGAGCACTACGCGAAGGCCCTGGGTTCCATGAGGTCCTGGGCCACGTGGAGCTCACGGCCTAGAGAGGAAGTCAGAGGAGGGAACCACTGCTTCTCCCTCCCTACACGTCAGGGCTCTCCATGGCCATCAGCAGGGCAGAGCCATCAGCCTCAAGGTCATCTCCCAAGATCAAGTCCACGTACATAGACTCCCTTGACTGCAAAGATGCCAGGGCCAGAGGGTTCCTTGGATATATCTTCCCACTTCCGTCCTTTCCTGGACCTCTGAGAACCCACCCAAATATTAAACGTTCTTGGGGATGGAACAGGCAGGCCTGGGAGTTTGGGTGAGTCCCAGGTTGCCCGCCGTGTGGTTGGCCTCGTCAGTTCTTCAATCTGGTCTCTTTGGCATAGGCCCAGACACAACCAAAACCCCAAGTGCAGCCCTAGCGTGCCAGGCAAAGTGATGGCCTTGAAATATCCCTTTAAATGAAAGGATCTACAGTCATTACCACCCGGGAGAGCCTGGCAGGGTAATTTCCTGATCTTGATCATCATTTCCAGGGTCATGCTGATGAGTCTGTGACCTCTCCCACCCTCTGCCCCCAGTGTCCTTCCCCCATCTTTGCGGGAGAAGGGGTAGAGAGGATGTGGGAGGGGCCATCTTTTGCATTCTTAAATATCCACTTCAAACACCCTCTTCTCTGTGGAGCAGGGTGTGGACTCTGTATGAAGTGTGGCCTCAAATCCCACCTCAATGTTCCTCCTCAGTCACATGGATGTAACCCAAAGAGCTACTTCCTGGGGCTGTTGGGGGAGTCCAGGAATTGATGTATTTAAAGTGTTTGGCACACAGTAGGTGCTTAATAAGTGTTAGGCACCATCATTGTCATTCCTGTAACTCTTCCCTCAACAGCCCAGCCCATGGGAGCCGGAGCCCGCGTCCTTTCCTCTGTCCCCACAGCACTGGTTCAGACCTTCCTGGGGCCCTTCAAGTCCGTCCTTGTTGGCCAGAGCAGCTCCCTGCCTGACTCACGCTGCCCACCCCTGCCCCCCCTGCCCAGAGCAGGCCCGGTGCACCAGGTCAGTAAAGAGGTACAAGGAGAATGGAGCCGGTTCTCAGAGAATCTCAGGAGAGCAGGCACGGAGGGTAGGACGGGGCATTGCAAATCCACAGCCATACCCACTTGCTTTGGCCCTCCTCAGCCATGAAATTATTTGCATTGCTACTTCATAACTGTAATTTTTCTACTGTTATGAATCGTAATGAAAATATCTGATATGCAGGATGTATTTTCATTGTTACAAATTGAGCGTAAATAAAGCATAGTGATTAATCACAAAAACAATATGCAATTATATATGTGTTTTCCTATGGTCTTAGGCGACCCCTGTGAAAGGGTCGTTCGACCCCCAAAGGGGTCGTGACTCACAGGTTGAGAACCGCTGGTTTAAGTAATAGAGCCCTTTCAGCAGACCTCCCTGGGAGCCCTAGACATCAGACAGCCCAAAGGGAGCTGGGGCTCTGGCCGGGCTCAGTGGTTAGAGCCTCAGCCCACGGACCAAAGGGTTCAATTCCCAGTCAAGGGCACGGACCTTAGTTGGGGGTTCACTCCCTACCCCCAGTCCGTGGGAGCCCTAGACATCAGACAGCCCAAAGGGAGCTGGCAAGGATCAGTGGTTAGAGCCTCAGCCCACGGACCAAAAGGTTCAATTCCCAGTCAAGGGCACGGACCTTAGTTGGGGGTTCACTCCCTACCCCCAGTCCGGGTGCCTGCATAAGGCAACCAATCTGTCTGTCTCTCTCCCTCCTCCTTCTCCCCCTCCCTTCTACTCTCTCTGAAAAGTAATGGAAAAAATGTCCTCAGGTGAGGATTTTTTTTAAAAAGGGGGAGATGGGGATGGGGCCAAGCCACAAAGTTCAATCCTCCATTTTCACAGCAACCCCGAGACTCCAGGAAGCAGAGACAGCAAACCTCTGGACACCCCCACCCCACCCCACCCCAAGGCTTCCTGCTCTCATGCTGCCACAGGAAATGCACTTGGCCGACCACCTCCACTATCATGGCCACTCCCCAGGATCGCTGGGCAGCCTCCTCAGGGGTCTCCCTCGGCCTAGGAGCCCTCTCCAGTCTGTTCCACGCTCAGCATATGCTCATGGTGCCACAGGAAATGCACTTGGCCGACCACCTCCACTATCATGGCCACTCCCTGGGATCGCTGGGCAGCCTCCTCACGGGTCTCCCTCGGCCTAGGAGCCCTCTCCAGTCTGTTCCACGCTCAGCATATGTAAGTCATATTGTGTTGCTCCTTTACGTTCAAAAATAGTGGATCCCGTCACACTCAACTAAGTCCCCACAGTGATATACAATGTCCCTCCTGATGGGCTCCCTGCCACCTCCCGACCTCCTCCTCCCCACTCTGCACCCCTCCCCCTTGCCCACTCTGCTCCAGCCACACTGACCTTCCTGCTCTTCCATGAAACTGCCAGGCTGTCCTGCCCCAGGACCCTT